TCGCACCCTCGCTTCCTCGACTCTGGTCGGTACCACGTGATTTGTCACTGCCATGCCATGTGTGCTTCTCATCGTCCCTAAACCCCCGCACCTCCCGCATCACTGCCGCACGTCACCCTTCTGCACCTCCTGTCTCTAACGTTACGTCACTCTTCCGTTCCCCCCTCCCCCACCACTCCCCCCCATCCCTCCCCCCCTTCTCCCCCCATCCCTCTCTCCTTCCCCCCATCCCTCCCTCACGTGCGGTGGGCGGCAGGCATCGTGAGGTCGCCCGTGTCCGCCACGCTCCCGCAGATCGCGTTTTGAGACGTCTCAAACCTTCCCTCCTACCCTCCCTGCTCCCCATGCACGGTGCGCGGTGGGCGGCAGGCATCGTGCGGTCGCTTTTTGAGACGTCTCAAAACACTCTCCCCTCCTTCCCCCCCCAATCCCTCCCTCACGTGCGGTGTGCTGTGGGCGGCAGGCATCGTGAGGTCGCCCGTGTCCGCCACGCTTCCGCTCAAAAAACACACGCAGCATCAAATTCCCCTCCTCTCCTCCCCCCCCCTCCCTCCCTCACGTGCGGTGTGCTGTGGGCGGCAGGCATCGTGAGGTCGCCCGTGTCCGCCACGCTCCCGCAGATCGCGTCGCGCCTCTTCCTCGTGTGGGGCGTGCTCTACCCCGCGCCGCAGGTGCTATTTCCTCTTTCGTTTCCTCTGCCTCATGTTTTGAGTCGACTCAATTCAGGGCGTGCTCTACCCCGCGCCACAGGTGGTCTTTCCTCTGCCTCATTTGTTCTCTACCGCGCTTCAGGTGCTTAATCAAGTGCTTAAGGTGCTCAGTAAAGTGCCTACGGTGCTTTATCTCACGCCTTGGGCACGTGACGATGTGCCGCAGAGGTCGCTCTCATAGGAGGCTATCACTAGAGGCGGAAGAGAAAGAAAGAGGCGAGGATGGGATGAGAGAACTGTAGGGTCGTGCAGTGATAGACACGCGTCTTTGCACGTCCATCACCATCACCCCCCATCGCCATCACTGCCTGCCACGTGTGCGCCCCCCATCGCCATCACTGCCTGCCACGTGTGCACCCCCCTGCCACGTGTGCACCCACCTATTGCCATCACTGCCTGCCACGTGTGCACCCAATCATCGCCATCACTGCCTGCCACGTGTGCACCCAATCATCGCCATCACTGCCTGCCACGTGTGCACCCAATCATCGCCATCACTGCCTGCCACGTGTGCACCCAATCATCGCCATCACTGCCTGCCACGTGTGCAGGTGCGGGAGCACGTGCTGGTGGCGTCGCTGCTGCTCAGCTGGTCCATCACTGAGGTGCGCGGGGGGAGGGGGGGGTGTGGGAGGGGGGGGGGGGGGAGGTGGGGGGGATGGGTGCGCAGGGGAGGGCGCGGGGGGGTGCACTGGGGGTGCGGAGGGTGCGTCGAGGGTGCGTGGGGGGTGCGTGGGGGGTGCGTGGGGGGTGCGTGGGGGGTGCGTGGAGGGTGCGTGGGGGGTGCGTGGGGGTTGCGTGAGGGGTGCATGAGGGGTGGAGGCCTCACCCTTTCTCACCCTTTCCGCACCACTCCACCCCCAATCCCCCGTACATATTTGCTGCAAGGCCTCAGGCTTCCCCCAGCCTCACCAAAACTGGCCCTTGTCCTCTTTTGAGGCGCCCATGTCCTCACGCCCATGTCCTCACGCCCATGTCCTCTCTGCATGTCACCCCACTCAACCCTCCTGTGCTCACCCACCCGCCTGTGATCCCCGATCCCCATCTGCTCTCCTCCTCCCCGCGCATGTGCTCGCCCGTCAGATCGTGCGTTACTCATTCTTTGCCGTCAAGGAGGCCTTTGGCTTCACACCCGCGCCTCTGCTCTGGCTCAGGTACTCTCTGCGCTCCATGCGCCTTTCCTTTAGACGCGCCTCAAAAGTCTGCTCTGGCTCAGCTACCATGCACCCCATACTCCTCCATGCTCTCGCACCCTCTGCCCCTCACGACCACTCCCCACCCCATTCCTCCCTTCTCCTGACCTGCTTGCACCACTGGTTGCTTCCCTCCCTCGCCTCCCTTGTGCTCCACCCTTCACCCACCAACCCTCACCCTCGCACCCCTTGCCCCTCACACCCTCTGTCCGTTTCACGTCCGCACCCACCTCGCGACCTCGACCATCTCCGCATTCCTCGCCTCCCTTGTGCTCCACCCTTCACCCACCCACCAACCCTCACCCCCTCCATGCTGCTGTGCACCCCCTCTTCCTCCGCCATCTCCCTTCCCCCTCCGCCATTTCCCTTCCCACATCTCCCTGCGTGTAACAGCTACGGCATGTTCCACGTGCTCTACCCCTCAATCAACCACCAGCCTTCACTCTCGTCCATTCTCCTGTGCACCCCTCCCCCCCTCTCCCCTCCGCCATATCTCTCTCCGCCTCTCTCTCCCCCCTCCGCCATATCTCTCTCCCCCCTCCGCCGTATCTCTCTCCCCCCTCTGCCATATCTCACCCCATCCCCCTTAGTGCTCTCTACCCTTCGGGCATCACCAGTGAAGTGGGACTCGCCTGCGCCCACAAGCCCTCATTCCTTCCATGCTTCTGTCTCCCTCCTCTCTTCCAAGTCTCCGGCCCGCCCCCCTCCCTCCCTGCACTGCCCACCACCAGCTACAGCATGTTCTATGTGCTCTCTCTACCCCTCATTCACCATCGCTCATTCCTTCCATGCTGCTGCGCACCCCTTCCCCCATCCCCCTGCACGCACCAGCTACAGCATGTTCTGCGTGCTCTCTCTACCCCTCAGCCACCACCATCCATACCGCTGACTCCCTTCTCACTTCCATGTCTCTTGCCCGCCCCGCCCCCCTCCCTCCCTGCGTTGCACGCACCAGGTACAGCATGTTCAACATGCTCTCTCTACCCTTCGGGCATCCCCATCCATGCTGCTGACTCCCTTCTCACTTCCATATCTCCGGCCCACCCCCCTCCCTCCCTGTGCTGCCCACTGCCGGCTGTGCCCCCACCAGCTACAGCATATTCTATGTGCTCTACCCCTTGGGCATCACTAGTGTTGTGGGCCTCGCCTTCCTCGCCCTGCGCCCACAAGCCACACCATGTGCTATGTGCTCCTCTCTTCCACGTCCCCGGCCCGCCCCCCTCCCTCCCTACACACACCAGCTACAGCATGCTCTACGTGCTCTCTCTACCCCTCATCCACCATCCCTCATTCCTTCCGTGCTGCTGCGCACCCCATCCCCCATCCCCCTTCCCCCATCCCCCTGCCCCCACCAGGTACAGCATGTTCTACGTGCTCTACCCTTCGGGCATCACCAGTGAAGTGGGAATCGCCTTCCTCGCCCTGCCCTACCTCAAGGTCCGCCCCTCCCTCTCCCTCTCTCTCTCTCTCTCGTTCTCGCCCTGCTGCATGTGTCTCCTACTCAGTGTCTATGCCCTGTCCTTCACGGTATTTTTCACAACCCTCCCTGTGTTTATACCTCAACTCAAAGCGTCTCCACTCACTTTCCCTGTGTCTATACCCGCAAGGATTTCCTCTCACTCCCCCGGTTCTATTCCCAATGTATATCCACTCACTCACCATTCACAATCCCGAGCTCTCCTGCTCTCATTCCATTCCACATCTGTTGTTTCAATCTGCATGTCACAAATGGGGGTCGTGACATCTTGGGACAGTTTGCCTGCCCAACTATTTGCCTCATTGCCACCTCTTTTCTTAAGCTGTGTTTTAAAGTGTATCTAGCCTACCTTCCAGTTGAAATCAACATTTTTTTTTTTTTTTTTTTTTTTTGGGTGCCCCTCCACCCTGTTCCTGACAACTGTTATGACAATTCGTATGTCACTTCATACCTTTCCTTTTGACTCTTTTTTTTTGTCTCATCACAGTGTTCATCTGTTCTTTCCCCCTTCTCACCCTGGCTGGCAGGTGTCTTACGTGTTCTCGTTTGGCGTGCCCAACAAGGCCAACTTTGCCGTTGACTATTACCTCGACTTCTGAGACGTCTCAAACATCGTCTACTTTCCCCCATTCCCTGGCAGGCGTCTCATGTGTTCTCCTTTGACATGCCCAACCAACTTTGCCGTTGACTATTACCTCCTCTGCATCCTCATTCTTTGAGGCGCCTCAAAAATCATCGCAGTGTTCATCTGTTCTCTCCCCTCTTCCACCTGGCAGGCGTCCCACGTGTTCTCGTTTGACATGCCCAACAAGGTCAACTTTGCCGTTGACTATTACCTCGTCTGCATCCTCATCCTTCTCACATACATCCCCGGTACGTTGCACTCGACGCACAATCTCTGCTTGCTTCCTAATGGTTGCATGCGTGGTGAAGCCATGCACATCAGGCTTCTTGCATGGTTACTGTTTTGTTGTGTTCTGGACAAGGGGCCTGGAAGGCAAAAAGGCTGCTATCAATCTGATCTGATCCGTTGCTAACATAACTGTGTGTGTGGCATGGCAGGGAGCCCATATATGTACACATACATGATGGGGCAGAGGAAGAAGGCCCTGGGAAAGAAGGACAAGTCAGCGTAGCAACTTCCTCACTACCACGGAAGAAGTCAACCTCCAGCCTCCAGGGTCCTCGCTATAGGAATTTTTTTTTGTCCATTCTGTTTATCTGATACGGTATGTAGACAGGTTTGTGACAGTTTGTTACTGTATTGCGGTACGTAAATCACAATACCAGGGTTGATTCACCAGTCCCTGTGGTCTAGAAATGATCATACTGAATGATCCACAGGATTGCTATTGAGATCACGGCAGCTAGGTGACGGCATAAATTATTTCCTCACTGGTAGTAACAAACACTTATGTAACCTTTTTTTTCCTATCCAACTCAGCTAGCCGCAGAGGCCACTCAGACCATTGGAGGCCACTTTACGTCTCCATTCCTGTGGCATACCATATTACCATACCATACTATAGTTGGCATGGCATGAAGCCCATTGTACGGTACATGCATGAGGAGTCAAACTGGAAGTGTGATAACACAGTTACGTAGACTTGGATGGGAGGATCAGCCTCCGAATGGCATGGGTGAGGGAGCGGAGGCTGGGGCCATGGGGATTGGGTCATCTGGGTCCTCTGATAGGGGGAAGGACGGGTGGGTAAGAGAAGCAGGGAAAAATGCAGGGGATAGTGATTACAGCTCTCAGATGCTGGTGCTGTGGGGATTGGGTCATGTGGGTGGGTCCTCTGATAGGGTGAGGGACAGCGGGGGAGAAATGCTGAGGGTGGAAGAGAGAGCTAGGGGTGAATTCATGATTACAGCATGCTATGAGAAAAAAAAGGTTACAATACAAGTTAGATTATATAACAAGAAAGCGAATACGGAATATTAACCACATGGGCTAGGTAAACCTTACCAATATCGTTGTGCACATAGAACCTGGCGGGACATTTGAGTCGACTCAAAATGTACAATAAGAGAGGGAATAGAATACAGTAAACATACCAATATCGTTGTGCACATAGAAGCTGGCGGCGACGATTAGATAGCTGAGCACCAGCATGATGCCCTTGAAATAATTGCTCTCTCCCTCCTGCATGCCGGGCAGACGAAAAGAACGGCATGGAGAGGAGACGGGCAGATGAAAGAGATTGCATCAATGGAGTTGGACAGTGGACAGACGAAACAACAGGGAATGTAGGAAAGAGGCTTCTCAAGCTGTCTCAAAGCAATGGTTGAAGCAAACACTGGTTAACGCAACATTGGCGAAACAGGCACAACGTTAGCACACCTGAAGCGACATTGACCCACTTGGAGCAACAGAAACCCACCTGAAGCACACAAACCCACTTCGAGCCACAGAGACCCACCTGAAGCAACAGAGATTCACCTGAAGCAACAAAGATTAACCTGAAGCAACAGAGATTCACCTGAAGCAACAGAAACTCACCTGAAGCAGGGCGGCGACGACAAGCACTGTCATGCAGAGCGTGGCGGTCTCAAAGAGATGGAAGTTGAGATCCATTGGCACTCCCATGGCCCACCCCACCACCACACAGAAGGGGATCTGCGGTCATGCGGGGGTGGGAAGGGTGGGTGACAGGGTTGTGTTGGAGAGAAGGTGGGATGGGAGTGAGGGCATTGAAGAGACAAAGAGATCCATGGGGAATCCTATGGCCCACCCCACCACCACACACAAGGGGATCTGCAGGCACGGGAGGGGAAAGAGAAGGGGTAGGGAGGTGGGGAGAATGACTCACAGAGAACATGGCAACTTGTGATATGACTAAGAGCAACTCACATAGACATGAGCATGTGCCCCGCTCGGGTCGGGCCGACCCGACCCGACCCGTGTATTTGCTCGGGTCGGGTCAAACTTTCGGGATCCCTGACCCGTACGGGCCGACCCGACCCGACCCGCACGAAGGCCCGACCCGAGGGGCAATTTCGGGCCGGGCCGAGCCGGGTTTCGGGTCGGGCCCGACCCGACCCGATTCGGGTCGGAACTGTCGAAATCGGGTCGGGCCAGGCGCGCGACCCGATTTCGACTGGGCTAGGGCCGAAACCCTAGCCCGAATGTAAATCGATCGAGGGGATTTCTTCCCCTCAGATTTACATTCGCCACCCTCGCCACGCCAGCACAGCCCCTAGTCTTTGAGTCTTCCTAAGTACCCCCCACTAGCCACTGTGTTTTGTGATGTCTCTACTGTTTGGCTACCCCTAGACTATTTTACATGTCATACCGACTGTTGCACAGCTTACGAAACCATCGCACCTTCAAGCGGAAGAAGAACATGTATTACAAAAATAGAGTAACAACAACTCTACCAGAAAAAATGTACAAGTCATGGGGAGCACCCCCACCCTCCCCCTAAAGGGGCGGGTCTTCCTGGCCCGACCCGGCCCGACCCGAACTCGGGTCCCCCGTGACCCGAGTCAGTAAGCCCGGGTCGGGCCAGCTGTTTCGGGAATCTGGCCCGAGGTCGGCCCGACCCGACCCGACCCGAGGGCCCGTATGGCCCGGCCAAATCGGGTCGGGTCGGGTCGGGTCGGGCCAAATGCTCAACTCTAAACTCACAAGTCACAGAGAACAGTAAAAGTTTTCAGGCAACAAGAGAACGAATGACTCACAGCGAACATGGCGATTTGAGTGGAGGAGCCGATTGCAACCCCGAGGGAGATATCCTGTAGATTGTGATTGTAGTGAAGGGATAGAATGGTGACACAAATGGAATGGAAAGTGATTGGTGAGAGGAATGGATAAAAAAAGAAAAGCAAAGAAAAGAAAAGAAGAAGGGTTGTGTCTACATGGCACCACATGAATACAATGCTTTTTTTACCTCCCCCCTCGCCACCCTCCCCCCCCCCAAAAAAAGTGTCAGAAAATGTTTCTTGAATAGGCCCTCCCTCCCTCCTCCTCCAAGCAACCAGCCCCTACTACTACCCCACCACCTTTCCTCTCTCCCCCCACTGCCACTTGTCTAAACCTTGCACCCCTCCACAACCCCCACCATCACCACTGTATCCCCCCTTTCACTTCATTAACCCCCCTCCCCACTCCCCCACTCCCACGCACCACTCTATCCTTGAAAGCGAACATGATGACTGGAACATGCTCAGCTGCACGTTTGAGTCGACCCATAACTCACAATTGGCGCCCTTACCTCACCACTATATACCCCTCCTCACCACTATATACCCCTCCTCACCACTTTATCCTCCCGACTCACCACCTCATTCCCACGACGCACCACATTCTCCTTGGAAGCGGAGATGATGGCTGAAGCATGCTTAGCTGCACATTTAAGTCAACTCGTAAGTCACCAATTACCATCCTCTCTTTTCACCACTGTATACCCCTCCTCACCACTTGATCCCTCCCACGCACCACTTTATCCATGGCAGCGAACATGATGGCTGGAACATGCTCAGCGGCACATTCAAGTCAACTCGTAAGTCACCAATTACCATCCTCTCTCTGCACCACTGTATACCCCTCCTCACCGCTTGATCCCTCCCTCCCCTCAACGCACCACTTTATCCTTGGCAGCGAACATGATGGCTGAAGCATGCTCAGCTGCATTCCCCACGATGGGCAGAATGATGACGCTGATGAACGCCACTGGGATATCCCACGCGTCCGCTGCTCCCTGGTGGGAGAGAGGGAGAGGGAGCAATGCAGAGGAGAGGGTTGGGGCAACAGCAGCATAGCGGCATTCCCCACGATGGGCAGAATGATGACGCTGATGAACGCCACTGGGATGTCCCATGCGTCCGCTGCTCCCTCAAGAAAAGAGAGGGGAGTGCGGAGGAGGAGTGCGGAACAGTGTGGGGGTGGGAAGAGCGTAAAGCCGAGAGGGCGGGTCAACAGCATTCCCCATGATGGGCAGGGCGGGATGATGACGCTGATGAACGCGACACGGATGTTCCATGACACGGGGAAACAGTGTGGGGGGGAGGGGGAGGGAGACGGTTCAATAGCACAGTGGAATTGGAGGAATGCTGCAGAGCAGAGCAGATGAAACGCACATTGTAGTGTAGTATACTCCAGTATAGTGTATCTCAGTACAGTGCACCTCGGTATAGGGCCACATTGAAAAACACTCAACATATCTCGATAGCATCGACAAGGTATTCAGAGAGGATGGAGATGATGACTGTGATGATGCCCATCCAGATGATGACCCTGTATAGGTAACACAGTGTTCCTTGGTATAAGGCACCTCAGTATATTTACAGCGCTACTCAATACAGTGTACCTCGATAGCATCGACAAGGTATTCAGAGAGGATGGAGATGAAGATGGTGATGATGCCCATCCACACAATCGCTCCCCAGAAGCCCAGCACCTGCTCCTCCTCCTCATCATCGTCCCCATCCTCTCCCTCCTGCAGAGGAGAAGTGGAAGGAGAAGAAAGGGTGGGAGAGGAAGGAGGAAGGGAGGAAAGGGGGAAACTTGATCGCTCCCCAGAAGCCCAGCTCCTGCTCCTCATCCTCCTCGTCAAATTTCCCATTCTCTCCCTCCTAAAGGGACCGGGAAAGAGGGAAGATCGTAAAGGGAAGGTTCATCGTTTTCCACCGATAAGCCCAGCACCAGCTGCTCCTCCCCGTCTTCGTCACCATCTTCCCCTTCCTGGTAGGAGGGAGAGGAGAGGGAAGTTGAAGACAGGAAAGAGAGGAAAGGGAAGGAGGGGAAGGGAAGGAGAGGAAGGAGGAAGGAGAGGAAAGGTTGAAGCTAAATCGCTCCGCAGAAGTGTTTTGAGTCGACTCAAAACTCCCCAAAAGACCAGGTCCTGCCCCTCCTCGTCATCATCTTCACCATTGTCTCCCTCCTGTGTGGACAGAGAGGGAAGGAATGAGGGAGAATAACGAAGGAAAGAAAAGTGCACACCAAATGCACTGCATTTGTGAAACACTGCACTCACATCATCGTAGGTGCAAGTGCGTCTTGAGCTGGAAGTAGAGGTAGCAGGCGTAGGTCACGAGCATCATGGCGCTGCTGAAGCGACTCACACTATTATCAGGGTATACGTGTGTAGTGCATTGCACTCAAACCACGCATGACTCACATCATCGTATAGGTGCGAGTGCGTTTTCAACTGGAAGTAGAGGTAGCAGGCGTAGGCGACGAGCATCATGACGCTGCTGAAGCGCGAGAGAGCGAGAGTGCTGTCCTTCTCATGCAGCTCCGTGTGTGTCGACTGCAGCACTGCCGGTGCTGTCAGCCCCATCACCGCCATCAGCAGGAGGCCTGAATTGACCAAAGCAGCGGTCTTTTTGAAGGGTTATGGGGTTGGTAAGTTGGGGGTGGGAGGGGAGGGGAGGGAGGGCGGAGGGGGAGAAGGGAGGAGAAGGTGTGAAAAATTAGCATGCAAATGGACAAGGGATGGTGGAAGTGTGAAAGAGCGAGTGTGCTGTCCCTCTCGTGCAGCTCCGTGTGTGTCGACTGCAGCACTGCCAGCGCTGTCAAGCCCATCACTGCCATCAGCAGGAGACCTGAAATTACCACTGCCATCGCAGCAGTCTGTTTGGGGGGTTGGGAAGAGAAAGAGGGGACAGAGAGGAGGGAGAAGGAGAGGGAGGGGAGGTGGGCAGGGAGAGGAGGGAGGGAGGGGAGAGGGGAGGAGAGGAAGGGGAAGAAGCAATAACCACATCCATCTCTCCCCCTCACACACAATCTCTCTACCCTCCCGGGAACTCTTCCCTTTCCCGCCTAACACCCGCTTCCTTCCCCCCTTCCCTCTCTCCCCCACCTTGTTGAAGGTCTCACTCACACACACATACTGAGATACGCGCACCCCTACCCCCCATTTCACCCCACCTTGTTGAAGGTCTGCTCCCTGTAGCGTAGCCCCCCCGCATAGAAGGCGCAGCCGAGCACGAGCAGCATGTTGGAGAGAATGGAGCCCAGCAGACTCATCTGCACCACGCGCACCAGCCCGTTCTGCAGGGCGAAGATTGAGATGATGAGCTCCGTGGCGTTGCCAAAGGTGGCGTTAAGAAGACCTCCCACTGGTGGTGAGGGGAGCGAGGTGCGAGGGTGGCAGAGGAAGAGAGGGAAAATGAGGAGGCAATGAAAGCCTGTTCTGCAGCGCATAGATTGAGATGATGAGCTTTGTGGCAATGCCAAAGGTGGCGTTCAGGAGACCGCCCACTGGTGAGGGGACAATAGGAAGGAGGTGAGAAGAGAAAGAAAGAGAGGAGGGGTTAACGGTGATATGCAATGCAAAGATGGAGATGATGAGTTCCGTGGCATTGCCAAAGGTGGCGTTCAGGAGACCGCCCACTGGTGACGTTGAGAGCAGGGAGGGTGGGAGAGGCAGGTGGGAATACAGCAGTGAGTGAGTGAGAGGAAGTGAGGAGAGGAGAGGAAAGAGGATGCAGCCCGACTGCAGCCAGGTGACATTTGAGTCGACTCAAAAGTCACCTCGTTACAATGGCACACGACACTTTTGAGTCGACTCAAAAGTCACCTCAGCCCAGCAGACTCGGGCCAGCCTGCTCTGCTAAATGCCACCCAACTGCAGCCCAGCAGAGTCGGAAATTGATATAATCAGCTGGGTGGCGTTGAGCAGGCTTCCCACTGGTGAGGGGAGAGAGGGAGCGAGAAGGGGTACGGGGGAATGAAGGAGGGAGGAGAGGAGAGGAGAGGAGAGGAGGGAATGGAGCCCAGCAGTATCGGAATTGGTTCGCTTTTGAGAATTCTCTTCCGAGACGCTTTTGAGAATTCTTGAAAGCGACGTTTTGAGCCGACCCATACGTCACCTCGGAGGCAACGGGACAGGGTACATACATCCATCAGAGGGGTTTCAAGTATTGGAATTGGCAGGCTTTGAAGTGTGATAGGCTGATAGCAACATCATAAGGAGAAGAAAGTGGATGTTATGGGAACGAGATAAGGAGTTGTAAAAACAGGGCACTATGTGACTAAAGCAGAAGGTGAATGTGACGGATAGCAGAAACAGGATATCTAGACACTTACAGGTGGGGCCAGTGTATGTTGCCAGCTGTCTGCACGGGATTGGCCAGGGTGGGATAGGGTTGTTGGGGAGGCAAAAAGGGGAGGCAAAAAGGGGAGGCAAAAAGGGGAGGCAAAAAGGGGAGGCAAAAAGGGGAGGCAAAAAGGGGAGGCAAAAGGTTGCTACACACACAACGAACGAGAGAATACTAGTGTGCTGATACAGAAAGGAATGATGTTCACACCGACTCTACACCCAAGTGCACCTTTAGCTGACTCTTCAAGTCAGTGTGCAGTGCAGCTGCACATGGGAAAGTGGTGACTTTTGAGTCGACTCAAAAGTCACAACGTCTACACCCAGGTGCACCTTTAGCTGACTCTAGAAGTTAGTGTGCACATGGAAAAGCGTGTCGAGAGTAGACGGGCTTTGCTGTGCACAGCACAGCACAGCACAGCACAGCACAGCACAGCACAGCACCTCACAGCACAGCACAGCACACATCCCTCCAGGGCATGGAACTTACTCTGTGACAAACCCTAGTCTCTCTGCCAAGGGGGCGATACCAAGCAGAGAGAAGGTGAAGATCCAACCCTGGGATGGGATGGGAGAGGGCGGATGGGATGGGAGAGGGCGGACGGAATGGGAGAGGGCGGGAGGAGGGAGGAAGAAGCAGCAACGCTAGTTGGGAAAGATCAGCACGTTAGGTTAGGAGCATGGAGGGCGGGATGGACGAACACGAGCAGCACGTTGAGCGGGAGACTACTAAACCCTGACCCCTCACTTTGTACCTTGTAACCCTGTAACGTGATGATGACCTGAGGGACCGCTACTCACCTGATGAGGCCACATGAGGCCGACAACGAGCATGGAGAGCGGGATGAGCACCAGCAGCACGCTGGGAGGGAGACTCCTGAACCCTGAACCTAACCTTGAACTAAGCAACCCTAACCTTGTTGTAACCCTGTAACCTTATGTTGACTTATTAGACTAGCGCTCACCTGCGGCCACTTGAGGGCGACAACGAGCATGGAGAGCGGGATGAACACCAGCAGCACGTTGAGTGGCGGACTCCTGAGTTGTCATGTTGTAACCTTATAACCTAGTAGCACCTAGCCCCCAGCCCAGCAGATCCGTCCCATCACACTCACCTGCGGCCATTTGAGGCCAACCACGAGCATAGAGAGCGGGATGAAGACGAGCAGCACGCTGGGAGGGGGACTCCTGAACCCTGACCTTCACCTTGTAACCTTGTAACCCTGTAACGCGATAATGACCCAAGATAATGCCACTCGTTCACCTGCGGCCATTTGAGGCCAACCACGAGCATGGAGAGCGGGATGAAGACGAGCAGCACGTTGAGCGAGCACCCAAAGAAGAGAGCCATGAGGCTCTTCCGCCAGTACTCCTCCCACGTCCGCTGCCACCCGCCCTTAGGGAGGCGCGACTTGCCCACCCCCTCGTCTGAGTCCGAGTCACCACGCGGCTTGCTGGGAGGAACAAGGAGAGGAAGAAAAGAGAAAGAGAGGAGAAGATTAGCGCAGTGAGGCTCTCCCGCCAGTACTCCCCTCCCACGTCGCTGTCACCGCACCCCTTGGCAGCCGCACGTTGCCCACCCCTTCATCTGGGTCCGAGTCGAGGGGGTCACGCGGCTTGCTGGGGAACAAAAGGGTGAGAAGGAGTTCAGAGGGGTTGTGTGCTTTCCTTCTATGTTTTCTGAAGGATGCCAGCCCAGGAGAGGAAAAAAGAGTAGAAGAAGAGAGCACATTGAGCGAGCACCCAAGGAAGAGAGCCATGCGGACCTTCCACTAGTGCTCCTCCCACGTCACTGCCACGTTGCTCGAAATGGAGGAGAAGGACGGTCAGGGAATGGGGCGGAGAGGGGAAGGTGGGAGTGGAGAAGGGGTGAAGGAGAGGGGGGGGAGAGAGAGGAGGAGATACGAGGGCAGGCATTGGCTGTCCACACCCCTAGGCAGACGCAACAGGGTTTTTGAGAATTCTAAAAAACACCCTGCAGCATCAAGAGGGAAGGAGAGGGGAGATACGAGGGCAGGCATTGGTTGTCTACCGCCCCTAGGCAGACGAAGCTTGCCCACCCGCTCATCCGAGTCCACTCGCGCTTGACAGTAAACCGCATTGACTATTGAGTCCACTCAAAAGTAAACTCGGATCAACGTCAGAAGCGCCTTGCCCAACCCCTCATCCGAGTCCCTCTCATAGGGCTCGCGCAGTTTGTTGGGAGATGGAGGGGTGGAAGGGAGAGCAGGGGACTTTTGCGGGGTGACTGGGAGACCCACCCCATAATCAGCACAGCAAGGCTCGAACACCAGTGATCCTCCTCCCTCACCCTACTTTCTCCTCACCTTCCCTCCCGCCTGACATCATCCCCTCTCACCTCTCCCTCCCCCCCCTCCCCCCCCTCCCCTCACCCCTCTCCCCTCCCCTCCCCCTTCCCCCTCTCCCCCCCCCCTCTCCCCTCTCCCCTCCCCCTCCCCCCTCCCCTCTCCCCCTCTCCCTCCCCCTCCCCCTCCCCCCCCTCCCTCCCCTCTCTCCCCTCCCCTCCCCCCTCCCACCTCCCCCCTCCCCCTTCCCCCCTTACCCGTGACAGCCAGCCACCCACGTGATACCAAGCAGCGAGAACTCATTTCTGAGACCGAGGCGCTGTGGTGAAGTTCACTGTTCACCCACCAATCACCTGCCAGTATTCTTAAGCCCGCCACCGACCTGTCACTGAGCAGCGGCGACTCAAACCCACCACCACCCCCTTATACCGATCTCAACCATCCACCTGTCACTGTCACGTGGCATCTTTAAACCCTTCATCACCCCTCCAAACCGATCCCAACCACGCACCTGTCGCTGAGCAGCGAGTGCTCCTCATGATCGTCATCTAATTCGTGGTGCGAAATGTCCACCAACTGCCACGTGGCGTCAAACGATTCGAGAAGGAAAACATCAGGTAGAGGAGCGGAGGGAACGAAGAAGGTGGTGATAATGACGAGCGTCACGCACTAGGGTTTGGTATCACTAGCTGAATACGCATCTGAAAAGGCAATCACTAACAGCACGTGGCAACTGCTGCGACGACTCGCTCAACACGAGCAGACCCGATTGTGAGCGCGTCTAGTAAAAGTAGAGGAAAGACGCGGATGTCGGAAGATAATGTGACATATTCGCGACTGTCGCGGCTGTTGGAGATACATTCGCGACGGTCGCGCGATGCAGATCCTGTCAATTTTATGTGACTACTGTCGGCGACAGATTCGCAAATTCGTGCCATCGGCGATCGAAAATCTGTGCGGACGTTCAGTCGACATGCGGTCTTGTCGTTTCGACGCACTTGCTTCCGACGTAAACGCATTATTGGGACAATACATTGTGCTTAACATTTCTCAGACGCCTAGTGAATGGGACATAAATTGCATTCAAACACTCAGCGTAGCCAAGATTGTGACGCAATGATGGAAAATTTACGAATCGACACACATGAATGCGCGTGGTAAAAAAAAAAAAAAAAAAAAAAAAAAAAAAAAAAAAAAAAAAAAAAAAAAAAAAAAAAAAAAAAAAAAAAAAACAACGCTCAACGTCGACGCATTTTCCACCAGACACACAGACACACCTCGAGGCTCTTTCTGTTGTTCGACGCCATGAGGGAGTCGAGGTCCCTCTACGAGAGTAATTTAAACGCTTACGAATCCAGCTCCCTGGCGACAAATGCTGGCTCCCTTTCTCCACGAGAGCACTAGAAAATGTACGATCACTGCAGCGCGATTCAGATAGATTCAGGAGCCGCCCGCGGCTTTCGCGGCGATGATTTTCGGACGCAAGAGTCTCTCTCGATCCGCGCGAAAGCACCTGCTACCTCAATCCTGTGTTCGAGATCAGATCAGGTCAGCAAGACGGCTGAGTTATCACATGCGGCTCCTCAGTGCTGACTAGCCGAGTCATCGCTTAGACCGAAACGATACTGCATGCATTTTCAACAAAGAGCTGGGTGTGGGAGAAAAACTCGAGGAGAAAAAGCGTGTGGGAGAATGCTGGCCAAGGAATCATCACGGGCTGACTGATGGATGGAGATAGCAAGATGAGTGGGGGAAGGGAGGGAGACTGTCGCATCCGTGATAAGCGGTAGTTACGAGGGCGTGTACAGCACAGCTCCAATCTCTCACATTTTCAGACCACAATGGGCTTGGTTCATTGTCAACCTGGGGAAACGGAACGGCTGAGCAGATTCAGGGTCACTTTATCCTGTAATTTTCATGCTATAAACACGTCATTTTGACGGTTATAATATTTTCTCAGCACCTGACCTGAATGGGGAAGGCCCAAGTCTGAGGAAGTTGGTGGGTAAATTTGCGGGAAAGGGAACCGCGCCTAACTGGGTGCTAGGCGCTTATTGGTTCCAGACCCACTCGAAATCCTCAAGGATCGGTGGTTCTGTGGTGAAGCTCGCGCACAGCAAACACCAGTTTCGAACAAAACGTTGCAAGCGACTACTGCACTGTACTTATCTTAGCGCGATTGTTTTGCTGTCCCCAACTTTACGCGTCTTACGGGTTTCGTATATGGCGTATTATACACGACCTCCCATTCGCACTACCCCTGCCACGAGGCATTCCCCGCCAACGCTTCTGCATACCAACAGTATCTACCATCAGTTTGGTACGGTTTAGTACGGTGTCGAACTTTGAATGCTAGTTTCTGTACGGTTTATTAGTGCTGATTTTACTCCACACCTCTCCGACTAGTGTCATCGAGTCGCTCTTTCAGCCTGGTTTATTTCCCCTTGTGCAGTCTTGCGGGACCAATCACAGGGCGCCGTTGCGCGCTGCAGCATTTTATCCAAACCGCCATTTAGCGCCTCGCCATTTCAACCGCCATCTCAAGAGTACATCCGCGCCATTGGTTAGTTGACAATGGCGGGGCGGTCGTCGCGATCCTCCGCCTTCCCGTCCTCCGCCTCCACCTCTTCCGCCTCCCCCGCCTTTCCCCCCTCCGCCTCCGCCTCCGATCTCCCCCGCCCCGAATCCGCCCGCGCCGCTGCGCGCGACGACCCGCTCTTCTCCGCAGTTCCGCCGTGCCCCATGCTTTACGCCGTGCTTCCCCCCGCCTCCGACCCGCTTCCCCCGCTTCCCTCCACCCATGCGCGCGACTCTTCCCCCGCAAGCAGCGCTCGCAACGCGCACGGCGCCGCTGCAATTGGCGGGGCAGTGCATGGGCGGAGGGGAACGCACGCACGGGCGAAATCGTGGGACGTAGGGGCGGGCGCGGAAGGCGGGGGGGAGGGGGGAAGAGCGACGGACGCGGGGGGCGGAGCTGCGCTTCCGGGGCTAGTGCCCGCCATGATGACGTCACTGTCGCTCACTGTGGAGTGCCTGATGACGACAGCAAGTGTCAGCATACAGGGCACGTGGGAAGTGGGGGAGTATGCGCGGGGGCGCGGGCAAGGGGGAGGAGGGGGAGGCGGAGGGGAAGGCAGAGGGGAAGGGGGAAGAGATGGCGGGGGGGATGGTGGGGGTGAAGGGGAGGAGCAGCAGCAGTGCTGCGACTGCCTGTTTGTGCTGCCCACGTCTCACAGGGTAGGGGCGTGGGGCGATTGTGAGTTGCTGAGCGTGAGTGAGGGGGCGTGAGTGAGTTGTCACCACTCAGACACCTCAGTACGCACGGACCATCCACCTCTCTTCTTCTCGTTTGCTCTCCTCCAGCCCACCATGCCCCTCATCCCTTCACTCACTCAACCCACGGTCCCCACCGCCATCCCCTTCTGTCTCCCTCGCTCCGTTCCCACGCCGCGCATCCCTTTACCTCCCTGCTGCCCATCACTCATGCCCTTCCTTCTCTGCTCTTACCTAGTCGCCCCTCGGCCCCATGCCCATTCCCCTATGTCCCCATGTCATTCCCCACTTTTCCCATGTTCCGTCCCCTCCTTTTCCCATGTCCATTCCCCCTTTTCCTCATGCCTGTTTCCTTGTTGGCCCCATAATTCCCCCATTGGTCTCATCCAACTCTCATCCCTCCTGTTCCCCCAGAGCCATGTGACAGCAGTGGAGGTGAATTTAGCGGATGGAAGGTTCCTCGCAACTGCGGTGCTCCCAGCGGACGAGGCAGAGGCAGCGTGCCGGGCGAGCCAAGAGCGGGCAGCAGCCGCCCACTCCGCCGCCCAGCCCGTGCCGCCCAGGCCCGCCCTGCCCTCGTTCCTTCTGACTTTTGAGTCGACTCAAAAGTCAACAGTCGCCCACTCCGCCGCCCACTCCGCCGCCCAGCCCGTGCCGCTCAGGCCCGCCCGCTCCTCGTTCCTGCGCCTCTCGTCTGCTAGCTTCAGCAGGAGCGGCAGCAGCAGGCATAGGTGGAAAAGCCAAGAGGGTGTGGGGGATGGGGATGGGAGGGCGGAAGCGAGTAGGGAGGGCGAGTGGGGAGAGAGCAGTGGAAGGGAAGGTGGTGCGAGTCGGGGTATGGAGAGAGGGGAGGGTGGGGGTGAACGTGGTGAGGGTGGTGAGAGTGGGAGAAGGGGAGCGGATGGTGAGGATGAAGAGGGGGAGGAGGTGGAGGGGAGTGGAGGGCAGCGGCAGCGGTGTGTGGCGAGGCGGCATGCAGCCGTGTTGCTGGATGAGAGTCCCACCACACACACACCGCACATGCTGCGACTCAGGATAGCCAAGGTGCGCACAGCACAAAACTAGGTGACTTTTCAGGCGACTCAAAAGTCGCCGGTGTGTGGCGAGGCGGCATGCAGCCGTGTTGCTGGATGAGAGTCCCGTGCACACTCCCCACATGCTGCGTTACTGGATGAGAGTCCCGTGCACACTCCCCACATGCTGCGTTACTGGATGAGAGTCCCGTGCACACTCCCCACATGCTGCGTTACTGGATGAGAGTCCCGTGCACACTCCCCACATGCTGCGTTACTGGATGAGAGTCCCGTGCACACTCCCCACATGCTGCGACTCAGAGTACCCAAGGTGTGTTGGTGTTGCTCTTTAAAAATCTCTTTTTGAGGTGCCTCAAAAGTCGTGCTGCTGGGTGAGAGTCCCGTGCACACTCCCCACATGCTGCGACTCAGAGTACCCAAGGTGTGTTGGTGTTGCTCTTGAAAAATCTCTTTTTGAGGTGCCTCAAAAGTCGTGCTGCTGGATGAGAGTCCCGTGCACACCCCACACATGCGCAGACTCAGAATACCAGGTGCGCACCAGGTTCCATGCATCCCTCTCAGCCCTACTACATCACTTCGTGCCCCGTTCATCCGTGCCCCGTGCATCTGTGCCCTTCAGATTTCTTCCTCCACACCTGCCACCCTTTCTCTACCTCCGTTACCCTCTCCCATTCTCACTTTCCCGTGCCTTTCTCTCCATTGCCGCCCCTCCTCCACCTCTGTTGCCCACCTTCTCTTCCCCCACCCCTCCCCACTCCCCATTTCACATGCCTCCTGTGATGTTCTTCCCTCCCCTCCTCTGTCTCCCCCTCTTCCCCCCCCATGGCAGGTACCCCAAGGCAGCAGTGTGCGTGCGTGTGCGAGCAACATACGTAGAGGCAATGGCAGGTCGGCACAGTCACAACAACTTATTAGAAAAGAGAACAAAAAAAACTCTTCAGTCTATACCCTCTTCCTCTTCCCCCTTGGCAGGTACCACAAGGCAGCAGTGTGCGTGTGCGAGCAACATATGTAGAGGCAATGGCAGGGCGGCACGGTCACAACAACTTAATTAGAAAAAGAACAAATAAAAGACTCTTCAGTCTACCCTCGCCCTCTTCCCCCTCCTTGGCAGGTACCCCAGGGCAGCAGTGTGCGTGTGCGAGCAACATACATAGAGGAAATGGCAGGGCGGCAGGGTTACAGCGAGATGAGCGTGCCGCTGACAGTGCCCTTGGAGTGCGTGCCAGATGACCTGGCAGTGCAGGATGTGGTGCGCGTGAGCTGTACCATCAACAGCGGCTTGCAGTGCCCCATGAAGATAGGCGACTTCAACCACCCCATGAAGGTGAGTGAGAGGTGTGGGGTGGGAGTGTGTGAGGAGGGGATTGTGTATGGCTAGTACATGCAGGTATACATGGGCACCGAGCCGAGTTTTTCGCCTCGGAGACATGGAGGGCCGACTAGTGCATGGAGGGCAGCATGGCAGTTCAGGACGTGGTGCGAGTGAGCTGCACCATCAACTGCGGTCTGCAGTGCCCCATGAATATTGGGGACTTCAATCACCCCATAAAGGTGAGGCGTGAATGTGATGCGCGGCATGTGACGATCATAGAGGCTGGTATTGCACTGTCGCAGATCATGTACTCACGGACTGCCGATGAACGTGGTTGGTCAAGCGTTTCTGCGAAGATTGAAAGAATTTTAGCCACATATGTATCGGACCGGACCCCGAAAGAATATTCTACCTTGTGGTAGTAGATTGATGTGCCTCAACCTACACTTGCAGTGCCAAACACTTCACATTACCCTATTCTCCTCCGTTCCCCTCTCCTCTCGCCCCCCGTACTTGCATGCTGCAAGCAGGTGGTGTTGGTGGAGTTGGGGCGAGCCACTCAGCCACGTTTGTGGGCCATCCTTTTGAGCCGCCTCAAAATTCTCCTCCTCCTTTCCACTCACCTCTCTCACCCCACGCGCGCGCATGCTGCATGCAGGTGGTGCTGGTGGAGTTGGGGCGAGCCACGTTTGTGGGCCATCCGAGCGACGACGACCCCGACGCCTGGCCGAATGCCGACTTCACCCTCTCCTTCCAGGTGAGCTTTGGGCTCAACAATGTGGGCTCCGGTCGGTTTATGTGTTAGCCGCCTCAGAAAGACACCCAGACATTGAAGACCCCGATGCCTGACCCAATGCTGACTTCACCATCTCCTTCCAGCTCCGCTCCACATCCTGGGCTCACACGTGTTGGCTCATCAATGCTGGCTCACTTGTGTGGGCTCACTTGTGTGGGCTCATCAATGTGGGCTCAAAAACGTTGGCTCAGCAATGCCAACACGTGCCCACATTGTTGTTCCAGCATTGTGGGCTCGTATTATTGGTGTCTGCCTTGCCTTGAATCTCCTTGCATTTTGCTAGCATCAGCATGGGCAAGGGTCAGCGACCGGTTTGCTTGTGTGTGGCGGGCCCAGACTATGTGAGCTTGTTTCTTATGTTTCTAGATTGTTGCTTTTACACGAGTGACGCAATGGGGTTGTAAAAACAAGATATATGTTGTTATGCAGAGTGATGGCATGATATGATGGCATGATATGATGGCATGATATGATGTCATGATATGATGGCATGATATGATGTCATGATATGATGGCATGATATGATGGCATGATATGATGGCATGATATGATGGCATGATATGGTGGCATGAGATGGTGGCATGATATGATGGCATGATATGATGGCTTGATATGATGGCATGATATGATGGCATGATATGATGGCATGATATGATGGCATGATATGATCGCATGATATGATCGCATGATATGATGGCATGATATGGTGGCATGATATGGTGGCATGATATGATGGCATGATATGGCAATGGCATGGTGCCATGATGGCATGATGGCATGTATGTGGCAAAACATGTCACCATGGCGTAGTTGCTTGCTCGCATGATGACGACACCATTGCATGGTGGCATGGTTGGTTGGTTGGTTGGTGGCATCTTGTCATGATCCATGCTTCTCATGGTGACTCTGTTGCATTGCATGGTGCCATGATGATGACATGCGGTGGCCACAATGGCTTCATGGCATGATGATGGCATGGCATGATGGTGGCATGGCATGATGATTGCATGGCATGATGATGGCATGGCATGGTGATGGCATGACACGGCATGTGACACCAGGTGGTGACGGAGGACGTGAGTGCAGCAGTGCTCGTGCAGGCGCCTCTCATTGGAGACCCCGATCCCCGAGCCTCCTTCGCCCTTTCAATCGCTCCGCCCGATCCCTCCCAATTCTCAGTATGCCAACTTTCTCATATCTTCTCAGTATCTCTCCTTGTGCCTTCACCTCCTCTTTCTCCAGCTTTTCGCTTCTCGCAACATTCTTCTCCGTCTCTCCCCTTGAACCTCTGCCGCTGTCCATACGGCATCCCTTGCTTTGCACTCCTCTCCTCCCTTCCAAACCGCAACTGCTGCTACAAATCCAAGTCTCCCCTGCCATCTGCCCCTCCTATCGCCCTCCGTTCTCCTCATACTCTCTACACTCCGCTAACTGCTTCTTTCTTCTCAACTGCCCCATTTCCACAACCATGTTTTCACCTCAACCTGCTTTTTCACATGCCGCCGTCCAATGCGTTCGTCTCTTCCTCAACACCTTTTATCACAACCCTCTCTCCCGCCAGGTGTTCGGCCGGGCGGTGGTCTTCATCCTCCACAGCGAGACAGGCCTGAGAGGTCGCCCCATGGCTAAGAGCTCCCACCTCTCTCCACCCACCCCACTCCACCCCTCTCCACCCCACCAGGTGTTCAGCCGGGCAGTGCTGTTCCTCCTCCACAGCGAGACAGGCCTCAGAGGTCGCCCCATGGCTAAGAGCTCCCACCCCTCTCCACCCCACTCCACCCCTCGCCACCCCAACAGGTGTTCAGCCGGGCGGTGGTCTTTATTCTCGACAGCGAGTGCGGCCTGAGAGCCCGCCCCATGGAAGATGCTCGGAGGGCAGTCGCAGCAGCACTGAAACGCTTAAAGCCTCACGACTCGTTCGCGGTGGTGGCGTTTGACTTTGAGCTGCTGCTGCTGGACGATGAGCTCGAGGCCGCCTCCCCTGAGGCTGTACGCAGGGCGTGCAAGTTCGTGCTGCAGGCGCATGACTGGCCGCAGCCTGCCAATGTGCTCACACCGCTGCAGCTGGTGGGTGGAGAGCGGTGAGCGTGGCTTGGGAGGAGTGTAATGGGATGAGGATGAGTAGAGGCCACCTCGCCTGAGGCGGTGCGGTGGGCGTGCAAGTTCGTGCTGCAGGCGCATGACTGGCCGCAGCCTGCCAATGTGCTCACACCGCTGCAGCTGGTGGGTGGAGAGCGGTGAGCGTGGATCGGGAGGGGTGAGGTGGGGTGAGTAGGAGCCATTTTCAGGTTCATTTATTCTGCACGCCTGGCTTTCCCTTATTCCGACACTCAGACGCTAAGGCCCACTCAGCTGTCCTCTCATAATAACTCTATGGCCTCATACTCTGCTCCTGCATTCCATCCCACACCCCATCCACACCCCATCCACACCCCATCCACACCCCATCACACCCATCCACACCCCATCCACATCCCATCCATACCTCATCTCATACCACATCCCAACCCATCCATAATCCATTCCATACCCCATCTCACACTCCACTTCCCACCCTGCGCATGTGTGCCCCATCACCACCAGGCGTTCAGGATGCTGAGGGGCCTCACCACCCGGCAGTGCTGCAGCAGATAGTGCTCGTCACAGGCTGCTTCCAGTGGCCTCCAACTCTCCACCCTGCCTCAATCTCACACCACACCACACCACACCACACCACACCACACCCCATTCCACCACACACCCCAGGCGTTCAGGATGCTGAGCGGGAACACGGCAGCGCTGCAGCAGATCGTGCTCATCACGGACGGCCCTGTGCGGGCAGAGCGCCGCGTGTGCCAGTGGGTGCAGCGCGCCCTGGCTGACTGGGGGGGCGCCGCCCCTCGCATCTCCACTTTTGGGATTGGTACGAGTATTCAGTGGGCTATATGGGTATTGATTTTTTTGGCATCGGTAAAATTATTGAGTCGGCTTGATGAGTGTAGAGTCATCCGCCATGCCATCGGTAGATATGAGCCATTGGAACTAGCAAGTGATTGAGCTGAGCCGGAGACAAGCCCGGGGGCGCCAAGCAACCTACCAGTGTGGGAGGTCGCCGCATCTCGCACGTGAATATATTTATATGTATATGTATACATATACATATATTTATATGTGTTTTGTGACGTCTCGAACAAATAGTTTATCACGTGGCTTGTGACGAGCCGGACTGGCCCGTCGTTTGCCATTAGCCGGCTCGAATCTGGCTTTGCTGTTCATAGACCCTGGATCCACTTGTCCGACACGTGGCTCGCCAGGAGCCTCTCTACTCGACTAACTCACGTGCCCTTACTTGCACTGCATCCATCCCATTCCGTCCCTCCCACAACCCCTTCCATTCCCTTCATGTTACACCCATCTCACTCACTCGCATCGTCCCATTGCTCCCACCCCATTCTTCATGCCATGCCCCACCCCATTCCCACCCCATCATAAGGCCCATCGGTGAATCCGTTCTTCCTCAAGTGGCTTGCTGCTGCCACCCGTGGCTCTTCACAGGTCACCCGCAATCCAGGTATCGCCCGGGTCTCACATTCTCACACCCTTTCTCTCTTTCTCACCATCTCAACTCGGCTATGCTGTAAGGTGTGGCACCTTGGCCAATTGCCACTTTGCAAAAGCATGTTCACGCTGCCACCTTCCTCCACCCCATCTTCACTGGCCCCCCATCTCATCCCTCCCTTCCCATCACCCTTACTATGCGCACTTCCCTTCCCCCAAACCCTTAGCTTGACTCAATCCATCCCAACCACCCATCCTCAACCCTGCTCTCCATCTATCATGCCATCCCCACAGAGGTGCGCATCCCATCCAACCCTGCGTCCTCCCCAGCAGAGGTGCGCATCCCATCCAACCCTGCGTCCTCCCCAGCAGAGGTGCGCAGGCAGCTGGATGGGATGCTGCAGTCCGCATACTCATATCCTCTCTCACTCCCCATTCCCACCCTCCGTCCCCGCCCCCGCCTGCGGCTCCGTCCTTCCCCCCAGCTGCAGTGCGCCAGTGGCTGGACGGCATGCTGCAGGCCATGGCTCGCCAGCTTGTCACCATTAGTATGCGCTCTTCCCACATACCCCTCTCTTCACTCATATCCATCCCCACCCCACCACCCATCCCCACCACCCATCCCCACCACCCATCCCCACCACCCATCCCCAACCCCCATGCTCCCCCCAGCGGAGGTGCGGCGGCGGCTGGACGGCATGCTGCAGGGCATGGCCCGCCCGCTCGTCACCAACATTGCCATCCGTGACCTGCCGCCCGCCTGTGAGGTGAGGTGAGGTGGGGTGAGGTGGGGTGAGGTGGGGTGAGGTGGGGTGAGGTGGGGTGAGGTGGGGTGAGGAAAAGGGTGCGGTGAGTGGGGTATGGCATGGCAGATGCTGTGCAACAGTTAAGGCCATGGCTCGCCCGCTCGTCACCAACATTGCCATCCGCGACCTGCCGCCCGCCTGTGAGGTGAGGTGAGGGGTGGGGGAAGGTGAGGTGAGGTGAGGTGAGGTGAGGGGTGGGGGAAGGTGAGGAGGGGCGGGGCGAGGTGAGGTGAGGGGCGGGGCGGGGTGAGGGGGGTATAGCATGGCAGATGGTGTGGACTAGTTAAGGCCATGGCTCGCCCGCTCGTCACCAACATTGCCATCCGCGACCTGCCACCCTGTGCCATGCCATCAGACCAGGGGCGATGCGGGGCAAGGGCCGAGGTGGGGGGAAGGGTGAGGTGTGAAAGCGGTATAGCCTGGCAGGTAGCTTGGCGTATTTTAGGAGTCTCGTGGGCTGAGCTGGGAGGGACAAACGACGTCCCAACCTCACCACACGTTTCTAGTTATTACTGATTCCGACCGATCCCATTGGGGATTGCCTTGCCTCTTGATTATTGATGCTCGTCACCAAAGAGCCTCAAGCTCCATCTCTTAATCATTCCTTTCAACTCAAGTCTTTCCTTACAGCCACCTGCTGCTCTCATGTGGTCCCCATGTGATCTGCACACAATGCTCACTGCCGCCATATCCCTACTGTGCCACTGCAGTGAGAATTGTGTGCAGTCACCATGGGGATATCCCGACTGTGCCACTGCAGTGAGAATTGTGTGCAGTCACCATGGGGATATCCCTACTGTGCCACTGCAGTGAGAATTGTGTGCAGTCACCATGGGGATATCCCGACTGTGCCACTGCAGTGAGAATTGTGTGCAGTCACCATGGGGATATCCCTACTGTGCCACTGCAGTGAGAATTGTGTGCAGTCACCATGGGGATATCCCTACTGTGCCACTGCAGTGAGAATTGTGTGCAGTCACCATGGGGATATCCCTACTGTGCCACTGCAGTGAGAATTGTGTGCAGTCACCATGGGGATATCCCTACTGTGCCACTGCAGTGAGAATTGTGTGCAGTCACCATGGGGATATCCCGACTGTGCCACTGCAGTGAGAATTGTGTGCAGTCACCATGGGGATATCCCTACTGTGCCACTGCAGTGAGAATTGTGTGCAGTCACCATGGGGATATCCCTACTGTGCCACTGCAGTGAGAATTGTGTGCAGTCACCATGGGGATATCCCTACTGTGCCACTGCAGTGAGAATTGTGTGCAGTCACCATGGGGATATCCCTACTGTGCCACTGCAGTGAGAATTGTGTGCAGTCACCATGGGGATATCCCTACTGTGCCACTGCAGTGAGAATTGTGTGCAGTCACCATGGGGATATCCCTACTGTGCCACTGCAGTGAGAATTGTGTGCAGTCACCATGGGGATATCCCTACTGTGCCACTGCAGTGAGAATTGTGTGCAGTCACCATGGGGATATCCCTACTGTGCCACTGCAGTGAGAATTGTGTGCAGTCACCATGGGGATATCCCTACTGTGCCACTGCAGTGAGAATTTTGTGCAGTCACCATGGGGATATCCCTACTGTGCCACTGCAGTGAGAATTGTGTGCAGTCACCATGGGATATCCCTACTGTGCCACTGCAGTGAGAATTGTGTGCAGTCACCATGGGGATATCCCTACTGTGCCACTGCAGTGAGAATTGTGTGCAGTCACCATGGGGATATCTCTACTGTGCCACTGCAGTGAGAATTGTGTGCAGTCACCATGGGGATATCCCTACTGTGCCACTGCAGTGAGAATTGTGTGCAGTCACCATGGGGATATCCCTACTGTGCCACTGCCGCCCACCACACCCGTCCCCTGCCCACCCCCATCAGCTCTACCCCTACCCCATCCCGGACCTCTATGCATCGGGGCCAGTTGTGGTGAGCGGCCGAATGAGCGACGAATGGTCTCCTCCCACACCTTCCACTTCACCCCGGCGTGATCCCTCCCCACAGAAGTCCCCCTGCTCCCCTCTCACACCCATGCCCTGCCCACCCCCACCAGCTCTACCCCTACCCCATCCCGGACCTCTATGCATCGGGGCCAGTCGTGGTGAGCGGCCAAATCGGTGACCATGTGACTTTGAGTCGACTCAAAAAAGCCGCCCACCACACCCATCCCCTGCCCACCCCCACCCCCACCAGCTCTACCCCTACCCCATCCCGGACCTCTATGCATCGGGCCCGGTCGTGGTGAGTGGTCGAATGGGCGACGAGGGGTCTCCTCCTGTACCTTCCACTTCATCCCTACATTGTTCCCCTGTGGCACCCACCTCTCTTATCCCCTCTCCGCCCGCACCATCAGCTCTACCCCTACCCCATCCCGGACCTCTATGCATCGGGGCCAGTCGTGGTGAGCGGTCGAATGGGCGACGAGGGGCCAGCAGCAGGTGGAGCGGAGGGCGGAGGGGGCCTGCCAATGCGCGTGGAGCTGAGGGGCGTGCTGGCCAGCGGGGCTCCCTGGAAGTTCAGAGCTGCTCTTTCCGACGCCGGCAACCTGCCCCTCTCCTCCGTACGCCCTCGCCCTCTCTGCCCCTGTTCTCCATAATCCCTCGCCTTATCTGCCCCTCTCCTCCGTACGCCCTCGCCCTCTCTGCCCCTGTTCTCCATAATCCCTCGCCTTATCTGCCCCTCTCCTCCGTACGCCCTCGCCCTCTCTGCCCCTGTTCTCCATAATACCTC